CCTGTGCCAGTGCCTCACCACCCTCAAAGTGAAAAACTTCTTCCTAATGTTTAATCTAAACCTGCCCTCTCCCAGTTTATATCCGTTCCCCCTCATCCTATCACTACATGCCCCAGTAAATGTCCTTCCCCAGCTCTCCTGTAGCCCCTTTAGGGACTGGAAGGCCGCAATAAGATGTCCCCGGAGCCTTCTCTTCTCCAGGCTGAACAGCCCCAACTCTCTCAGCCTCTCCTCATAGGAGAGGTGCTCCAGCCCTCAGATCATCCTCGTGGCTCTCCTCTGGACCCACTCCAGCAGGTCCATGTCCTTCTTATGTTGGGGACTCCAGAGCTGGATGCAGTGCTCCAGGTGGGGTCTCACGAGAGTGGAGTAGAGGGGCAGAATCACCTCCCTTGACCTGCTGGCCACACTTTTGATGCAGCCCAGGATACGGTTGGCCTTCTGGGCCAATTTAACTTCTTAAATTCAGAGCTGTGCAGCCCAGTGCCACGACACGCTGGTGAGGCTGTCACCGGTGCTGGTGCTCCTGGACCTGTCCGTTAGTGGCCGGTTTGGGCAACACTGCTGCCCACTTACACAGGGTCCAGCCCTCCCGTGAGGGTGGCCGTGGGACTGGAGCCGTCCCCACTTGCTGTGGCCGTGGGACATCAGGGGTGATGTCAGACCGAGGGGTTTCCGTGGGAGAAGGTTGCTCAGCCCTGAGAAGGCGCCGTGTTATTTCCCACTGAGCTGCCTGAGGAGCTTTGCATAAGCAAAACCTCTTCCTCCCACAGCATTCCAGGCTGGAAACTTTAAATTTCCTCCTAAAAGTGGTGTAGCCGCTTCTCTGGGTGTCTCTGTTAAAAAGGCTAATGCCTGGAGCCGGGGGAGGGGGGGACGGGTACCGGGGTGCCTGCCCCCGGGGACACGGGGGTGCTGGGGGAGCAGGAACATGGCGCCCACCCCCGCGGGGCTGCAGCTGTGGGGTTGGGGTGTGGAGGGAGGGAATGATCCTCGGGAGAGCTGCCCAAAATGGCTGGGACCACAAGAGCAGCTCCCTGGTTATGGCTGGGTGCCCCCCCACCCCCCCAGGATCTTGTCCCCGGCAAGGTCGAGGTCCCGTGTGTCCCTCGTAAAGGGGTGGTGGGGTGACTTAAACACCAGAGCTGGTCCCCCCCGTGCCGTGGAGCAGCGGTGGAGGGGGAGCGGGGCTGCTTTGGGTACAAATCACAGCATCCCACCACAGGGATGGGTCTCGCAGGCTTGGATGCCTTTCCACACCTCCCGGAGCCCACCTGCAACAGGGGACGGCGGCGGTGGGTGCTGGGTGGCACCTGGGGGTACACGCCAGCAGTGTCTCCCCTCCGCGGGCACTCCGAGAGCCTCCAGCTCATCACCTTCTCCTTCTCCTCTGTAGCTCGGGCTGGACATGGAAGAGCTGGAGGAAATCGAGGAGGATGCCGGCCTCGGCAACGGTGGGCTCGGCCGGCTTGCTGGTGAGTGAGTCCCCCCCAAAAAAAAGGGTCTCGTCGCCTGGGTGGTGGGGCACAGCGCTGGAGCCTTTGCATCTACAGCAGGAGGGTACCTAACCCCGGGGGGGGTCACTGCCCCAGCCTTGCCAGGCACAGGGCGAGAGGCGCTGGGTGACCGGCAAGCGAGCGGCGGGGGGCGCGGG